CTTAATTCAAAGCATTATCTTACATGGCTTGGAGGCTGGAGAAAATCCACCAAGGGTTGAAAGGGCTGGCGTTCCATCAGGATTCAATCCCTTTGCTTTTAATTTAGCTTCTTGTAAAGCTACTTTTCTCTTTTCTACTTCTTTTTCCAGCAATTCATAGTTTGGCTATTGGATGAAAATGAAATTAGTTATTTCTCCCTTACAGAAAATTCTTAGCATTCAGAATGATAGTACAAACTTGGGTGGACAGAAAGTACCTTTTTCCTAGTATAGAGCCTAAGTGTTTCAATGCATATTTCTTGGATCTCCTCTTCTGTAGTACCAAAAAGAAGAAACCAATGGGGACGAGTTGGCAATGGAATCTAAACCACAAAAACAAAATGGTTTCAATCTTAGCTTGTTTTTAGTGGAACCACTGGAAATCTTTGTGATTTATCCTACAAAATAAAATAGGTAATATACGCTTACCTGAAGTGCTCTAGCTGCAAGGTAGATGCAAGCACATGCTATAGTCTCGGGTTGAAATCGAACAAAAACATTGGTTCGAAGACTGTCATTCATGTAATTCCTGAAAAATATTTCAACTGTAAGCTTGTATGTAAACAAAACAGTTCTTCCGAAGCTTACATAAAATTGGAGACTCAATCTACTTTATTCTTTTTTCTTCTCTTATTTATTCACATCTTTGTTATTTTAGAATATGACAATTCTTACCTCAAAAAAAAAAAATCAAAGAATTTAACACAAGAACCATTTTTTAGTTTTCCTATATATGAGCAAAGCCCTTTAACATTAGTCCACATGATTATCCAAACAGAAATTATTCCTAAAGTTCTTTAACATACTTCTATAAAAAGCAATGCTTTTAAAGTCAATTCTGGTATGATTGGTTTCAGAAATGATAAACCACTCCAACAATACTTCAAGCCATTAATTATTGACCATCTCTCCTTTATCCACAATAAAAAGCAGTATTAACTAAGTTTTTTCCAGTAACTCAAAGTACCGTAACAGGGGTAAAAAGGTATTTTCAGTTAAGTACCCACCAAATTACATTTATGTAAAGAGAGCTGACCAGGCACAGTAGCATGCACCCGTAATCCCAGACACTCATTAAGGCTGAGGTGGGACAAGGCTTGAGAGCCCCGGAGTTTAAGAGCAGCCTGGATGACAGAGATACCCCATCTCAATTAAAGGGGAAAAAATAAAACAATAGAAAAAAAACTAAAGTACTTAAGAATTTCTAGATAAGAAGTGAAGAGCAATAAACACACACAATGGTCTTGTTTACATACCTTTTTGTGACTATGTATAAATAACAGCAATAAACTATTTCAGTTAATAAAGTGCTAGACTTTTATTAGTGAGCCCTCCCCACAATATTCCTAAACTAATAAAGTTTACATGTCATTTAAAAGATTAATAAAAGATTAAACTAAAATTAAATGAACTATTTCTTAAAAATCTTTACCCATAAAAACTACTAAAATCCATTTTATAGAACACATACTAAAAATGTCATGCATTTTATAAAAGCAGTGAGACTTTTCTATTACTAATATTTACTGAATCCAAAAGAAGCATGTCAATTATAAAAAAGGACATCTTGCTAAAAAGTCCAGAACGTAAAAATTACTTCACTTAAACCCTTCACATGAACAGTCTTATGAAAACAGTTGTGGCTGAACCAAACTCCTTGCTTGACCTTTAAATAAGCCAGCACTCCAAGTCACATCTGCAAATCAAAAAATCTAAATTCTAAAGTGTCTAATAGTAATATCTTTTTAAAAATAAATATTTTTACTTCTAATATTATTGCCTGCAATATAGCCCAGTAGCTATGAATTAACCCAGTATGGAACTGGTGTGCACTTTAAGCAGCAAGTTGTAGACTTCATGGTATACACACTAAAAGTAGAAATTTAGTCAAACTCCTAATAAAAACCATTTTATAATTCATAATGGCTGGACAACAAATCTATCAAAAATGAACTACTCATTTTGATAGTTACAGGTATACATTAAATACATAGGCATGTCAAATAGTTACTTCTAGAAGCAAATATACAAATCCTTTTGACACCCCGACAGAACTAGAAGATGCTGCCAGATGGATATGGACCACTTCAGTGAATCTCGGATGAGAGCTTGCACTGGATTGGCTGGAGAGCAGGGCAGCCAATCAGGCCATCCTGAGGTCATGGGCTGAAGTGCAGAGGGCAGAGTTCTATGACTTACCATCATGGACTACCCTTTAATCAAAGAGTAGAAAAAAGAACAAAGTTAAATTGAGTTCTCCATTAAAAGTAATTAGTCAAGCCAAGAAAACAGGAAGCAGAAATAAGCATTATGTACCTTTTGATTAAAAAACAAACAAACAAACAAAAACAAAAAGCCCCAAAACAAACTTATGTCATTATTTTGAAAAGGGAGAATGAAACTTACTTTATTTCTGCTTCTGTTTTCCTGGCTAGGAAAGAAAGGTAAAAAAGCAACTTACCAGGCAGTTTGAACCAGGGTTTGGTTACGTTCACATTCTAAGACTTGTAAATACATAACAATGATCTGAAGGACAAGGAAAAAAACTCAATTTAGCATATTGGTGGTTCTTCCAGAGTACAGAATTCAATGAAAAAATTGAAAACATTAAAAGTTATAATTCTGTATAGATAATACAGACCAACCTAAAATGTAGCTGAGATTTCATGTTAGTTATTATAAATGTTACTAGATTTTATAAAAGTTGTTTAGAATTATATCCTAAAATTATATAGAAAAGGTAGTTAATCCAATTAAAAGATTATTTTCCGTGAACACTTTACTACATAATGGGCACTATCTAAGATTATTTCATCGTATTTTTCAAGGTATGTTTCTATCCCAGGTAGTCCCGTACCTAGACACCGACCGTCACAACCACTTATATTTATAAGGAAGCCAAGAGATACTGAGAGAAATTCATGGATTTCCAATAATGGAAGAACATTTTACCACGTGACAAGAAATGTGACAGGTACTTCTACATTATTCTTTGGAATGACATATTCCACAAACTCCAATTTCTAGGTGTGAAAACTGGAACTTAACCGCAGAAGCAAAAAAAAAAAAAAAAAAAAGAAAACTTCACTATCAGCAAACAATTTAAGAGTGAATGAAGATCTGAATCTGTCTTTTTGACTTCCATTTTTAATATCCTAAAGAATGCTTTTTAAAACCAAGTGTTAACTCTCACATATAAACACAATATGAATTTTAAGGAAAGCCCTAATACTTACAAATGTAATTTCTGTACAACTCACCTTATGGGGATGCTTGACATGAACACAAAATCCCAACTCCTTTAGCACCCTCCTTTCTGCCTTGATAACTTGATTTTTGGTGTTAATGTAGTTCTGATCAAGGATCAGGGGGCTTGGAGTCCTATAGTTTGTAAGAAATAAAATCAAGACTGTTTTGCACATCCAAAAAATTTTATTTGTGGCATCTCCATTTTCCCTTCCAACCAACTATTGGCAACAGAAACCAGCTTTTTAAACTCCTGCAAACAAGTTAAAGCATTAATCTTATGCTGTCCAAGTTATGCTAATTAAATATATACATCTAGACTAAGTTCCTGAAAGAATTAACTCAAGTCTGTACTGGAAGTATTTCACTCTAATGCTCTTGGATTTATCCTTGTTCATCTTTTCTTTCTGATTATACTTTGTGCACACATGTACACATATTAACTTTAGTGATAGCATGATTTAGTATCCTAAGTCTCACTGGTCTCCACTGAGAGAGACTTTCCACTAACAAAACCAATGTGCACCTGAAAAAGATTTATAGCATTATGAAATCCTCATAAGATTATAAGGTTTTTCATTCATTCTCTAAATTATCTACTCTTGGTTGGTTTAGGGTCAAAATAAAAACTAAGGCAAAAAATAGTGGGTAGTTAATACAGATTCCTTAAAGGGTAGTATTGTTTTAACTAAATGTTCTAAGAACCTACCTCTATTTAAAAAAAAATTTGAAAACCATTTAAGATTCCGCTTGATTACCAAAGAAAGTCAAATTTAAAAATCATATTCAAAACTCAAAGTTTATTTATTTATGATACCGGCCAAAAGTCTGTCAAGAGCCACCGTCTTTAGTCATGCTCCAGTTAGTATGTAATTCACAGATTTGAATGGAAGGCACAGTGGGGAAACAAGAACAAATACAAGATCTCTGTCCCACAGTGAGTCTGGACAACTTCAGAAGTTTCTATGGTACAAATGGATAAGTCAGTGGTTCTATATTTTGAAAACAGCACATGCAAGTGATGATACTTATTCCCCAGGTGTTTTGGTTTTTTATATGGTAAAAATCCTACCGGTTATAGTAAAAGACTATCTTTTGTCTTACAAATCAAAACTGGTTTCCTGTAAAATTTTAAATGAGTCAGGAAACATTAAGGAATTAGATTTTCATTTTTGAAAAGTCTATGAACTTTACACAAGTCCTCTGATACATTCTTAAGTACAACCAGCAAAAAGTACATTTTTATTGTGACACTGAATATGTGTAAAATATATGGGTACAACATGTTAACATTTTCACCCATACTCATTTCATTTGTAGCTAAAATAATCAAGAGTCTTTGCTCTGGGCAGAACACATCTCTCTCTCTCTCT